GGGACCGCGGCGTGTCTCGGTCCCACCGCCTGCGTCTTCCTGGTCTGCTGGGGGGAGGGGGGAATGTGATCTAGTGGCCATAGAACTGGACTGAAAGTCAGAGGAAATGGGGCGAAATCCTGATGCCTTTAAAGTCTCGGACTTCCTGTAGTCAGCCGCTGGTCAGTTTCAGCAGCGGCTGAATCTGGATGCCAGTTCCGACTTACATACAGATTCAACTTAAGAACAAACCTACAGTCCCTATCTTGTATGTAACCCGGGGACTGCCTGTATCTGTGGCAATACAAAGATTCAGAAAACATTTTTTTACTAGATTCCTTGCTAAGTATATTAATACCAATCTTTAAATAATTCATTTTAACCGCAATACAGGAACTTATTCTTTGCACTCCTCAAAAGCAATCAAAGGCTGCAGGGAGTCAGAGAACAGAGTAGCTGAGTGACTGGGAAGTCATTGTGAGGCAGGAGCCTGAGCATGAACCTAGAAACTTGTTGAATGTGGGTGGGAGAAGTATGGAAGATCGTGTTGTTTTGACAGAGGGGAGAGGGGGTACCTTAGAGGAGATGGGAAGCCTCCCTTATGCATCCCCTGGCTGACCGATACTCTCTCCCATTCAGCCAGGTATATCTGTGCCCATCCCTGTTCAAGAGGTCCACATTTGATCCAACAGACTTTTAGTTTAACATCTATGGCATACCAACCCCAATTGCTTCATTCACGCTGCCTGAGGCTGCTAGGACCAGAAGGGTAATAGAGATGTACCCGTGTTAGTCTGGTCTTGCTGAAACAAAAGACAGGACTATGCAGCAGTTGAAAGACTAACAGGATGGTTTATAGGTGATGATCTGAGGAAGTGGATCTGGCCCACGAAAAGCTCATCACTTATAAACCATCCTCTTAGGCTTTAAAGTGCTGCATAGTCCTGTCTTTTGTTTCAGGAGCAGAAGGGTTATAGTTGTGGAATTCCCTAGACTAGCTCAGATTAGTGACATTTCAGATGGGTAGCCATGTTAGCCTGTAACTAGAAAAACTTAAACAACAACAAATAGTCTTTCAGCACCTGAGAGACTAACAAAAAACGTAGATGGTATCATGAGCTTTCGTGGACACAGCCCACTTCTTCAGATGAATGGAGTTTAAGGGGTCCAGTTTTCAAATAAATAGCACAGAGAGGGGATTAGGAGAAGAGGAGGAAAAAGAAGGAAAAAAAAGAAATGGGTTGTGTCCACGAAAGCTCATAATACCATCTACATTTTTGTTAGTCTCTCAAGTGCTGCAAGACTATTTGTTGTTTTTTAATTTTTTTTTCAGATTTCTGAACTTGTCTTAACATGTGCTCAATAACTTGTGATAGAAGCACACTCCAAAAGAGAATAGTACAAGAACACCTACAACCTATGTCATCCCCAACTACTCACCCATTCTACTTCTGCAAATAAAACGGGCACTCTTACTGTTAGACAGATCCTGCCAACTGCTCCCAGAGGGAATGAGGTGTGCACATATTCTTGCTTTCAAAAGTATAGGCTGCTTAGCAGGTCATTCATAACAGCATTATTGGAAGAGCAGAGATGAGCACACAAGGATTAGAGGTCTGGGCTCAGCTCTGCCTTACACAGTACTTCCTGTGTAACAGTGGGCAAGTCACTTAACCATGTGCCAAATTACCCTAATCTGTGAAATGGAGCAGTATTATTTTTTTAACTCCCTGTATGAGTATGAAGTGTCACTCAGTTCTTTGTAAACTCAAGTCTCTGTTCTCAATCTAATTGAGACTAAAAACCATGACCTCACCCCTCAGCCCTGTATGAAGTTCCCTGAGCCAACCAGGGATTCTGGTGAAGAAAGCAAAATGAGAAGGAGTCCTTTAATTAGATCTTGGGTTTTCTAAAAACATCTGGAAAGTTATCTCAGCCACTTTGAGTCGTTTCCTGCATATACACACACATTGCATTGTTCCTTATGTGTACAGTCAGCCACCTCACTGCACTCTACTCTGCCTGGTGCAATTTCTGAATGTTCATAATTCAGTCAGATCGAACCAACTGCTGCCAGAACGTGACTCTGCCTCACTGAGGACACGTCTTTCCATGCAAAACTGCAACTTTCAAACAACTGTTTCGTTTACAGGGCTGTTAAGAATAGGATCCAAAATGTTATAAAGTGGAAATGCATCTTGTTCAGTCACCTCTCCCTCCAAGGGTTGAAATGTTTTTGCTAAAACCTTTCACAACCAAAAGTAATCCTTTAGGAAGAGGAGAAGCCTAGAAAATCTCCAAACCCCAAACCCTCCAAAAGCGTGGTCTTACACAGCTCAGCCTGGCCAAGAACAGGCCTCTAGAGCTGAAACCTCTTCCAACTTTAACTGCTGTGATTCTGCTGCTCCAGCTACAATATCTGCATAACAAAACTGCAGCTGTTTCACCACAGACCATATCATGCTCTCCTGTTTATGGTGTGCCATAAACAACCTAATGGGAGACTGTTTCTTAACCTTTTCAGGTTGGCATCCCTTTATTCTAACTCAAATTTTTGGTAACCCCCTAAATCAGTGATATTCAGTCAGATCTCAGTGGTTCAGGAGCCAAATTAGTGATCAACATTCTGCAAAAGAGCCAGTAATGTAAATTCATTGTTTCAGTTACTGTAGGCACTGTTAATCACAGTGATTTAATATGATGTGCTGCAAGGAGCCACAGGAGACGCATTAGAAAACAGCTTTTACTGTCCTAAATTTTTTGTAAAGGTCAAAACCTATAACGTATAAACCCATATAATTCACTTGTGTTTTGAAAGAGTGACAGGGAGTGTTTTATCTTGTAAACTAAAGTTATGGGAGAACAAGATTTTTGGTTTGGATTGTAATACATTTTTCAACACCTCATGGCTCCCCGTGGGTGCTGACCCCCAGTTAGGAAACATTGATATAAGGGGAGCTGTAGCTGATATGACTATTAACTGGAAGAAGCAGCAGTGTATTTCACACAGCAATTAGTCACAACATAGTACATGCAGCTTTTAATCCAGACACTAGCACACATTTTTGCATCAACACTGAGAACTTTATAACTATGGAAATCAGCATCAATGATTGGATTAATATTTTAATAATTACACACTTTTTACATTATGAAAATAAGTCATAAATAGTGTAAAAATAATTCTGAAGATCAACTTCTCGCAAGCTAGGACAAAAAAACCAAAGTACAAAACTCAAAAACAATATTAAAAAAATGAAAACCAAGGAGAAACTTTCAAAACAAATCCAAAACCATGCTGTTTGATCTGGTTCACAATAAAGTAGAAATAACACATTAAAATGGATTAAACATTGCAAATATTTACACTACTGGGCAAAACAGGTTTTGTGCCATTATTTACAGTGACAAGACACTCCAAATAGTTGTAGCAGAACTGATCACATGAGACTGACCTAATGTTTTCCCAAAAGCAGTGTAACTCTTGCCAAATTACTTTTCATTGCATTTTCATCTCCTCTACTGTACTTACAAGAGACCATTTGCAATACAAAAATAACTGCACTTATAGATGAAAAAAGTAAAAAATACAAATAAAAATATATAATATATCCCAAAGAAAAAAAAGTCAGATACATACATCTTTTACAAATGGTACTAGGCTGCATGATATTATATTTTCCCAAACATGTACAATAATATAAGAATATTCACATAAATGTTAACAATATGTAAAACATTCTTCTACAAACCAACCTCTTCAATAATACTTCAGTGTGCAAGTATCAATGGTATCTGGGAAATTCATATCATTTCTTGGTTAAACAAATAAAACACTAAAGGTCCTAGGTTGGATAAGGCCCCCTGTTCTCCAAAGAAAGACAATTGTTTCTAAGCAGCATTAAATTGACATATTTAAAATTACAAAACAAACAGCACTCCAGAAGATTATTTTTAACATGATACTCCCCAAAAGAAATGGAATCTATGTATTAATTCTATCAGAAATGAAGGTGGCAGGCACTTGTTTGCAACATCATTTAATGAAGCCAACCACCATGTAAAATACTTCAACAACAGAAGGCTTAAGAGAATCTTTGTTTTCACATTACTGTAACATTGATTCATAAAAAGCAAGTTGCCATAGGAAAGAAACCAGTCAGATGATAGGGCTTATCATTTTAAAAGGCCAAGGAAAATGAATCAGTATTCACAACCTCTGCTGGGTCTCTTTGTAAAGATCTGCATTTCTGTGAGATACCTTTTTTTTCCTGTTGTGAAAACCAAGGTAACTGTAAACCTTGGGTAAAATGTAAAAATACAGATTTACAAATATGTATGTATGATGAACAAGTAGTTGAGGTAAGAAAGTTTGAAAGAAAATGTCAACTTCTGCATGTCCTGTAAGACCTTCTACACTTTCAGAAAAGCGAGATCATTCCTGACCCCAGTCCCACCGAAACCAATGGAATTTCTCTAATGAACACCCAGCTTTTCTATAGCACATGTAATTAGTAGATCTCAAAATACTTTACAAAGGAGATCAGAGGTATCATTATCCCCATTTTACACCTGGAGAAACTGAGGCACTGAGTGACGTGACTTGATCAGCATGGCAGTGGCGCAGCTGGGAACATAATCCATGGATAAGACCCTGGCATGAGTCAACAGAACAATTCCCATTCACTTTAAAGGCATCAGGATTTCACCCCATTTCCTCTGACTTTCAGTCCAGTTCTATGGCCACTAGATCACACTGCCTTAAGAAATTTAGGACTATTTGCATGAGGCAGGGTTGTAATATTTTCTAGTGTCCTCATCAGAGAATACATACACAGCAGTACTTAAGCTGTGTGTATTCAATATTATCAAGACTATTTTCAGTTTTCCACACTGCACATAGCACAGTCTCTGGAGGACAAGCCATTTTTAAACTATTGGAGCATGTATACTCCTTTTTATGGATGCAGACATGCTGATTTGACCTCTTTCAAACTTTTCCACAGCACTTCTATGGTATATAGGGAAAATACATATAAACAGCTGGATGCACAGAGTCATTCTGACTCACTAGAGATTGTCAGACAATGACATCAAAATCACCAATAAATTTAAAAAAATATATTCAAAGAAAAATAAGTTATAAATATTGTGAATGAATGTTTCATGCTTTACTTTGTAAAAAATGAGGTTTCAAAGCACCCTGTAAGAAAATTCTTCCCCCTCCCTCCCCATCTAGCTTATGAAAATGAAGACAGAAGGCCACTGTTCAATGTGGCTGCAATACACTTAAGTTAAAGATACATAAGAAGATTGGTACCAAATACTAAAAGTCTTAAACGGAGGCACAAGAAATAATCACAAAACAAAGTCTGGGATACAGAATGCAAATTTATGTCCTCTACACATTTTTAGAGCTGAAAAGATTGGTAGATGAACCACTGTTTCTGCATATTCGCAAAATTAAACAAAGAAAATGGTATCTAGTGAAGGAATGCCACTAAAAGTGTAATCATAAAACAGATGGTTCAAACCAAAGTTGCACTGCCAAAGAAACAAAAAAGAAATAATAGCACCAAAAACAATTGTCTTTAAACTGAGCAAATATATTGTAAGTCTTCAGAGGGTGCTTTTCATTATGAAATATTAACCTGAGATGCTTTGTCTTTACTACATATTAACCTTTTCTAGTTGCTGTTTAGCTTCCATGCTAGTTAACACGCTGTAGGCACCTTTTCAATACCACTTAGTATGTATACCTTATTGTTCTAACCTGGCTGTTGGATTGATAACACTGTATGTCTACTGATGAGACCCCATTTTCAATGGAATGATCCTTTCCTGACATTAGCCAAAATCCAAGATACCCATTAATTGACAGCAGAAGCATTGTTATGTGTTCTATGGGCACGGTGTGAGTGAATGTAGCATGCTTACAACAGAGCTGAATTCTGCCCTGTGTTTTAGTTACCAAATACCATCAATGGAACAATTTGTACTATGATATTTCAACAAAAGTATAGGAACTAAGGCTCATGTTTTTCTTGTTTACAAAATAGGATTTTTAAAGTTGATGTTAAATCAGTTACAGAAAAAAATACGGGGGTGAGAAGGGACAACACACATTTGATAGTACCCTAACTGATAATTCCTTACAATGACTTGTTTTCATGGGCAAGTCCAAGTTTTTGTTATCATATGCAGCATGCTAATACTAGAGTAACCTTCACTTATTCTGCAACCATAGAATGTTATGAAGAACCTGGACCTATCCTGATTTTTTCACTAAAACTAGCTGATTCCATACTGCTATTCTCTTTTATCTTAACATATTTATGCAATTTAGCTAACCGGGCAAATTTTCTCATTAGAAGTTAGGAATTTATCACACTGCACCAGACAATAAATTTACAAGTCCAATAACTTGCTTCTGTGGCTTTCCAAAAGTTGGTGTGCCACAGAAAGATGCTATGGATTCCAGTCTCTAGGTGTATAAGTAACCTACCCAGAATGTGTCAGAAGTACTCTCTCCTGTTTAGAGGACAGCCTTCATATTTTCCAAGAAACAGAATAAAATAGGAAGGTGGCAGGGTAGAATGCAGCTGCTTCTGCCTTGATCCTGTAATCCTCTAGTCTTCATGGGTCAAACTTCCACTGAAGTCATTACGGTAATGGGCAGACGTACAACAGTATGTAATAGGCTTGTGCAAGAGTTGCAGGATCAGGCTGCTGGTGGTTGTTAGCACTGTAGAATAAAACATCCATTTCCAACCCAGCATCACTAGGCTATTTAAAAGACAACTGCACCAGTAAGCAGACTTTCTGTAGGAAATTAAGATGGAGACCTATGTAAGAAGTCAGCTTTTATATAATTAAAAAATTAATAACTTTCTCCTTGAAAAGCTATTTTACTGACATGGTGTTGATAGACTGAAATGCCAATCACAATCTTATGCAGAATGAAAGAAAGGCCTACAGTATAAGCTCCAGTGACTGGAGATTTTAATGTGGTAGTAACCATCCCCTTGAGAGTGAAATGAGGAGGGGTGCCCACTTCTAGATAATATACAAATTCACTGAGTAGCAAATTATGTATATTTCCAGGAATGGCAGGGTACCCACACATGGATGAAGAAATATTCTTTTCCTACAGCTCTGTTTTTGGACTGCCTATAAAAATGAACTCTCCAAAATGTATATTTAACAGCTTATGATCATCTCAGTATGCACACTTATTTGAATAGATCTAAAAAGAATTTGCATCTGCCAAACACGAAACTGTTTCATGCAAATTAATTTCTTAATCTGACAACAAATGCACCTTATGAAGACTCAAAACTGCAACTGAAACAAATTCTCAGGAAGGTTCAGACTACAAAATTAATGTTTCCAGTAATCAAAATGAAGTGAAACAAAATAGTTTCAGCTTCTCTTGTGTACTAGTCAATCAGAAATGGAAATACAATTATAACTTATACTGTATTGTGACGACCATCCCATGATAATGATTTGGGCTCACTTCTTTTTTACAGTCTTGGCAACCATGTTTAACAAAATCATTGCAATTGCAAAAAAAGAACCATATAAATAAATCAGCCCATGAAAGTAAAATGAAATAACTTTTTTCCAACTTAAAGACTTCAAAGACTAATAACAGATAATACTGAAATCAGAGGAATACATGTTGTGAAGTTATTTCTTTCAAAGCCTGTTTGCCAAAACAAATCTGAAAGAGGCTACTGAAATGAAACTTTTGCAAGTTTTGAAAGCTAATGTTAATTGCGTTTCATTTCCCCCCAGAAGATGTAAGGTTGTGTAATTTATTTGGATAATCCAAAACTCACACACACAGATCCCGTCAGTTTCATTAGTCCATAGAAGAGTGTTCTCAGACATTCCCATTGCCAAGAATGCTTTCCTTTAGCAATCCAAAAATACAATATGTGGGGCACATATTGTGTCAATCCTTGAATCAGGCTGAGAAGCTTCTAATCTCAAACGGGGCCTGCTGTCAAATGATCCACTTGGCATCTTTGTAACCTTTTCAAACTGCCCCAAGAGGAAGTTGGGTTTCTCCTTCAAACTTCTTTCTAAGCAGCTGACTGCACTTGACATCTAAACCCATCAATCTTGAATGTCTTCGTGACTGTGAGCAGTGCAAGAAAACGGATGCAGATCAACAGGCGTGACCCTTTTTGAGCAGGGTGGGGTGTCACATGACCCACAAATCTGGAAGCCGTCCACCTGCGGTTGGAACTGCATTCCCCAAAAATTCAAGACCTTTTTCTAATCTCCTCTGCCTTATCTCTTTTTGGCAATAAGCCACGGTGTGACTCCCTTGAGATAACAAAAGGAAACAATTCAGAAGTTTGGATCAAAGGTCACAGTGAGCTGCCGTTTAGTATGTGGAGTGATCACACAACAAGCAGGTTTGGCACACAATTCATGCTTTTTTTTTTAAAGTCTGTACAAGCAGGGATGGTGGCATGAATCAGTGAGGATGTTTAAGATGAACATGGAAGCAAAGTCAGTAAATTCCAATGGCAGTTGGTACAGTACAATTCATAGCATTTAGCTCATATTTGGTCACAATTTCATGTAAACTAGTTCATGGCACTCATTGTCCATGCAAGTCCACAAGCCAAAAATAAGAAAACTTGCAGAAAAACTAAATCTCCATGATTGTATCTCTATAGATATCTCTATAGAGAGACTAATCTTTATTTTTGTGGGCTTTTTCCTTCAGTTCTATAGACTGCCTAACTGCAGATATATGTGAAGAAAATGTACACGTGGACTACTGCAAACAAGTGGAAGCAGCTACATGTAAACATATCTCAGACTTGTAAAATAAAATTTCTGTTTTCAACTATAAATACAAAAAGTGGAGCATTATACACAACTTCATGCTTCTATGGTTAGATTCATCACTGCAAAGACACAAAAAGAGATACATTGGCCAGGTTAGTAATCTATTAGCCAAACGTTTATCGAAGTGCATAAATATAGGGCTGAACCCCAAACACCTTTCATTCTCTTAGCCACAAATGTGCTTCCAAAATGCCTATAGTTATTTTTTTTAAAAAAGCTATTGTCCAGCAAGTAAAGCTATTACTTTGTTGTATCTATAGGAACAAAGCTGAGCATCTTGAAAACATGTGTATTTAGCAGCATGTTGTACGGATGTGAGACATGGTGATAACAAAAGCTTCGAAGAGAAGGATATTGGCTTTCGAGAGGAATTGTTATACAAAGATTCTGAGACTAGGATGGATGCAGAAGGTCACCAACGAGGAATTATATAGGAAGATACAGCCGAAAGAGAACCTACTGCAGAAGGTGATACCATGGAAGTTACAGCTATTCGGGCATATCTGCAGAATGAACAATGAGCGAAAAGTTAAGACCCTGGTATTCAGCATGTTGGATGGTCCGAATAGGAGAGGCAGACCCCCCATAGATTGGTGTGGAGCTAGTCTACAGAAACTAAGCCACTTCGCACTGGACAGGGAAAGATGGAAGGAAATAGTAAGGGACTCACTGGACACCAGCGGGCATTGAGCCCTTGGTGATTGTTGATGACGACAATGATGATGATATTTCAAAAGCTGATCCTGGAAAATGATGATCACATAGTGGAGTCTGGCTAACCATGAAAACAGGTGGATATTTTATTTGAAAATATCAGCTAGTGGGTGGAGTTGTGGGTCAGGCAGTGAGGAGCAATAGTAAGGGACTCACTGGACACCAGCGGGCATTGAGCCCTTGGTGATTGTTGATGACGACAATGATGATGATATTTCAAAAGCTGATCCTGGAAAATGATGATCACATAGTGGAGTCTGGCTAACCATGAAAACAGGTGGATATTTTATTTGAAAATATCAGCTAGTGGGTGGAGTTGTGGGTCAGGCAGTGAGGAGCAGCCACAGGTATACAAACTAGCAACAGATGCCAGGGATGAAGTTTACCCAGCTAAGCCATAAAGACCACTCACAGGGCAGCAGCATATTGTGGCAGGTTGTACTGAGTTGCCTTACCTAATAGAGTAGTCCCAAGCCAGCTGCTGCAGAGCATAGTTAGCTTTATATGCAAACCCTAAACAATGTATAGGTTAGACTGAAATTAAAAATTCCACTTCTAAGCTGGGATAACATGCATTTGGAAATGTAGCTGAATTTGTAGAGTTAGAGCATGTCTTCACTTCAGGCTGGATCAATGGGCAGCAAACAATCCAGCAGGGTCGATTATCGACTGCCGAACGCTCGCCTGTTGACTTTAGTACTCCACCAGAATGAGACATGCAGGCGGAGTTGACAGGAGAGCATCAGCTGTCAACTTAGTGCAGTGAAGCAGATCTAAGACCTACATTATTTACATAGCTGAAGCTGCATGATTTAGGTCAGCAGTCTGTGGGAGTGTAAACAAGGCCTCAGTCAGAACACCTGCAGCTTCCCCTGAACTACTGCCTCCTTTGACAAGAGAGGCACTATTTCACTGGTGGCTTTCAAAACAGGCAAAGCAACTCAGGAGCTGTTGTAGTACTTGAAGCTATTTGTTACTCATCTTTGAAGATGAGCAGATCTAAAATTGATGGTGGTGCTTACCCAGCTACCTGTCTTGTTGCTAGAGGTAAACAAGAGTCACTGTTGGCTTCCCATGATAATAAGCATTGTCTGTCTTCTCAAAAGAGGTCAGTATATCTGCCTATAATTCCTTAGGTAACTGGCAACTGAAGTAGGGATGCACATGACATCCGTGATTCTTAGTTTCCCAGAAAGAATTATTCAGAGACACTGGCTAGAAAGTTATAGATATTTGTGACAGACAAATATCTATAACAAAGTAATAGCTTTACTTTTCCAGATCTTTTCCATCACCTTCAAACTCGCTCTTGCTTTCACTATTCACTATTTTACTTTCACTATTTCCTTCTTACAGTCTAGATTATAAATCATGTTGCTCCCCCCTGAAGTCAAATGAGAGATTTTCTAACCCCAACCAGGAGTTCACACTTGGTTTATTCTTTCAAATGAATTCAAGCATCAGTATTCAGAGAGGAATAAACATCCTTTCATTGATACATTTGCTCCGAATTCTGATGTTTTGGAATCTAGCACTGTCAGAGTTCTACTCTTAAATAGCAGAAATCTTTACCAAAGTAACAATGTTACTGCTGTAAATCAGCTACAAGCTCTAATAAAATACAACTGCATCACTTCTGGAGGGTTTGGAAAGAGGCAAACAGGAAGCAAGATGCACTGTCCCTTTGGAGATCCAGAAAAGTCAAAGCTCATAGGTCAATATGAACATTTCGGTAAGACTGCCATGCCATTGATGGGCAGGTCTGATACAGTCTCCCAGGTCAAAAGCAGGGCCTGAAGGAGATATTGTGCCTTCCCAGCAACTCAGGCACCAACTTTTTTTTATATATATAGGGCATAGATCAGATGCTGTTAGAAACTCTACACAGTACAAATTCATCATGCAAATAATATTCAAGGAGAGGTTATAACTTGGGCTGCAGTGTATTCCAAAGATCTGTAAGCTATTCTTACTGACATCAGAATGTGTGAAGTCAAAAGGGTTCTCTTCTGCCAAAGAAAAGGGACAATGCCTATGTGCAGAAATGATTTGGAACGTCTTACCTTTTGCCAGCAGCCTGGCATTGGTAATCCATCTGGCCCCTGTTCCAAGGAGAAAGACAAAAAGTGCATAGTTGAGCCTGACAGTGTATCTGATGAAACAATGAGGCCTTCTTAGCCCACGACTAGTTCCCACTTTCTAACTATAATTCTGTCACTTAATATGAGGGAAATTCTAACATCCAATGGAGACTGAGGGTATGTCTAGACTACATGGCTTCGTCGACAGAGCCATATAAACTAGTTTATCTGACATAGTCAATGAAGTGGGGATTTAAACAATCCTCGCTTCATTAAAATAAAAATGGCCACTGCACCGTGCCGATGATCAGCTGATACAGCACAGCACGGCAGTCTAGACGCAGATCGGTTGACAAGGGAAGCCTTTGTTGACCGCTCTCTTATGCCTCGGATCAGCTGATTGTCAGCACAGTGCGGTGGCCATTTTTATTTTAACGAAGCGGGGATTATTTAAATATACATAGTCAATGAAGTGGGGATTATTTAAATCCCTGCTTCATTGACTATGTCGGATAAACTAGTTTACATGGTTCCGTCGATAGAGCCACGTTGTCTAGACATACCCCGAGTGTGCTCACACTGAGCGCATACAACCCTCTCACTCCAAAAAATTCAAATCCCAACTACAGTGTGCCTAGTCCAGGTCAGAACTTTAAATCACAACTGCTGATTTTTTGCTGCCATGCAACATATCAGAGTCAAATCAGCTGAGCTGGATTCATTGTCTGCATAACGCTATACTATTATTCTAGTGTAAAGAATCTCTTATTTATAAGTCATGGATATTTAGCCATAGCTCCATCAGCAATAGCATATCATTTGTTGTTTTTGAGGTCCTGGTACAAAGTTAATCCACTGATAGGATATTTATGTCCAAACTACACATGGGAATATTTTCATATACATTAATTGTCACCTTTATAAAATTAAAACTAAATGACTGAACCTACTCATGCTGAAATTGGTGGGATAAGTTTCCCTGAGAGCAGGCCATTAAGGTAGAAGCTGATTGTTTTGAAGCTACTTTTTGTTACTTGAACAGCGCTAGTTACTACAGCACTTTAATACATTCCCTGCACTTTAATATATTCCTGATTTACACTGGTGTAGAGAATCAATCTTGTAATGTGATGAGTGCACAAAGTTGAGAGCTGACGGACTGTAAATGAGAGGAGAATCTTAGATGCCAACCATTTATAAGGTTAAGGGTACTACTGTTTTTTACTTGGATTTCTTATCTGTTAACAGTTCTGAGAAACAGGGTTTGTGTGTTTTGAGTGTTTTTTCCCCACTACTTTCTGTTAAGAATGGCCTGTTTTCTAGACAAGAAACTGTTTGTTTAAAAGCTTATTCTGATAACTGCCTATATAGCTTACCAGTAGCACAACATTTTTTCATAGCAACGGTGTAATGATTCTCTAGATATAAATGATATGACAGGTTGAACCTCTCTAAGTCCAGCACTCTCGGGACCAGGTCGGTGCGAACCAGAGAATTTCCTGACTATGGGAGGTCAATATTGTCTAGCAGCATTGCCAACACTTCCACTGCTGACTGAGCTCTTAGATGACATTTAGGGGTACATTAGAGTCAAATAACAGCACAGAACACTGAGAGCCAGGACTGGTGGCTGTAAACAAACTTTATGGGGCCATCAGAAACTTGACCACACTCATAAGCAGACATCTGGCTAACTAAAATCATGCCAGACCACGGATGTTGCCAGACCACGGATGAGTGCCGGACTGGAGAGGTTCAACCTGTACAAAGACAAACACATTTTTTAATTATGAAGGCATGCTTGAGTACCCTCAACAAAATATGAGATAAGGTTATCATTATTCAGAAGCAAACAAAATAGAACATGGACTATGTACTTCAGATTAAAATTCCATTGACAATTTAGATTAGAAACTTTATACTTGATATACAACCTACTTCATTTTAACATTCATCTTCAGAGAATCGTGCTTCGCTAACAAACAATATCAGAACATGCAGACCAAATTTAACTGCCAACAATTGAAAACACCTATATTGAACCTTTCAGAAATGTGAATGTACTGTTCAATTTTAATTGGAAAAAATAAAATATACTTAGATTAAAAAAAAAAATCTGTGTTGCCAGATTGGTACAAGGGAGAGGATCAACAAATAGACTTTTAGTATAGGGGGGAACTTGAATTCATGCTAACACAGAGTGGGGGGAATATTGTGTGTATTTCAGGGAGGTAAGTTCCAAAGGAAAGACCATTAAATTGAAAACGTTAAATAAGGAAGACAGGGTTTGGGCTGCAGACCATTATCTTCTTATAAAGCTCAGATAAGTTTTACATTTCAAATTAAAAGACTATTCTGATCTATAAGCCCGGTCCCCAAAACTTTGTTCACAGGACCTGATCCTGCAGATTTTACTCATATCTTAGCTTTTTTGCAAAGCTCTATGATTTAACTTTGACAGTGGGTTATTTATCTCATTCTCTGCATAAATGTAATTTTGGCTCACTCCTGGAAAAAAAGATGCACTCACAACTCCCATTGTTTTCAGCTGGAGTCAAGTGTGCAGAACAGTTTTGGGTGTAGGTTAGGGTGAAACACATTCCTATGCAGACAATCAGCACTACTTAGGCTGTGGGACAAATAATGTTTGTTCCTGGTACTGGCTTTCTGCACAGAAGTGTATTTCATTCTTAGTGAGCAAGGCAAAAGGCACGTGTGTGGGGCGGGAAACAAACAGTGCTGAGGGAAAAATTACGTTGGAAGAACATGTGACGTGGGAGCAAAATGCTGGATGTTAGGTTCCAGGTATTGACAGAATGTGTCTTCTGGATACAGTTATGATTGCTGAAGCAGCTGATTTGTTCATGCACATGCATGTATTAGGTGGATAATGTAAAGTCTGCTCAGAAAAACACCACTTTACACGAAGAACAACTGACTACATACAAAGGAATCGCATGCAGGGTTGGTAGGAAAGAGAAATACTGTACCAATTGGCAAGGGGCATCCAGCCCATCCAGGCCTGGCTGGCCTGGCTCCCCTTTTTCCCCCTTAATTCCACGGAATCCCTGTTTGTAAAGATTAACTTGCAACGTTACTGACAAAGAAGTGTCTTTGATATTTGATTCAGCTGGAGCAAACAACAGTAATAATAATAGAGACCAAGAGGAGCAAGCTTACAGCACCAGTTATTAAAACCTGTGTGGCAATGATCCAGGTACAATCTCAGCTTAGCTTTTAAATGGCTCGCCTGTAAAAAAAAAAAAGAACTATGCAGCAGAACAGGTTCCCAATTTGTATAAAACATTGGCAGATAAGCACAAGTTGCCAAAATGTCTACCCAGCATGTTCCATGAAAAATATTCCATAAGTGAGATTCATTTTTAAGATCTTCATACTGGTAATTTAAACCAAATTAGGAGGACAAACATAGTCCAGGCAGTAATTTGCAGACTAGGAGATGAAGCGCTTTGAATAATACCAGGTTATACTACCACTGTTGCTTGCTCCTCTCCCCTCATTGTAACCCATTATAATCTACAGCAGGAGGAGCGATTTCTAATACATGAGTGAGACATACCAACGGGCAAGGTGCATCTAATCCAGGGGCACCCTGTTCTCCTTTCTCCCCTTTAGGCCCCTTTTTGCCTTTCTTTCCCTTTTCCCCCTGTGGACACAATGGTTTGGATAAAACAGATGTTTCATTCTTTTGGGTAAAAAAAATATAAATGAAAGAGACTGGTTTAAAAGATGAGGGTTTTTTTTGCCAGTGGAGGGCTGAAAGGACACTTACCACTGTGTTCTGGTTTGGATGGCACATAATGTAGAGAAATAAATGATATGATCATAAGCAAGAAATGCATCAGTTGGCATTATTGAGCTTTTGTATTAATGTCAGTGTGGTGAAATATTTGAATCCTAAAGCAGGATTTGAAATTATAGGCTGACTTCCTGATTCAAATTGTGGGCAAGGACAGAAATGGCAAGCGGAATGTGTTCCTTTCTTTGGGAGCTACGGAGGAAGTAGAATTTCCAGTCTGAGGTGTCTTTGGAACAACTAAACAGATCAATTTAATTTCTGTCAATGGGTGACCAGAGGGAAAAATAGTGGGAACAACTGATTCCCAGTGTGACTTAGTGGTGATTATGTCCCAACATGTCTTATATTGAATGGATCTCACATGCATCAGTCCCAGTACAGTCTGTACCAAATCTGCCATCAGTTACTCCTATGCATATCCACTGAAATCAATGGGATGGCACGGATACTGCTCCGAACACAATTTGGCCCTTCATTTCAAATCCTGCTAAAGGGCTCAGAAGATCCAAACTGCTTGATATTGAGGTGCTATGAAATTTTCCAGCAATCCCTTCTCAATTCAGAAACTAATCATAAGTGCTAACGGCTATGTTCATTTAAATTTTGCATTCAATACACGATTTCCAAATACCTCTCTACTCCTTTGAATAGGTGACTGAGTTTGCTTTTTAAAACAAGCAAGCGATTAAGATTTCTGAAAGACAAGTTTACAGCCAATTTCACAGCTTTTGATAAACCACAGAAATGAGACACGGAAAAAATAATCTTCTTTTTCCCAATTGGGCAGCTCTGAAAAGGTGACTTCACTCAAGCAGTATGTGATTTTTGGAAAGTCAATTTTGTAACTGATTTCACACCAGTTGATCACAATGGTAAATGAGTTTCAGGCTCACTTGCAGTTTAATCAAACCAAAACTGCTTCTATAAAAAAAAATAAAAGGAGAGGAGGGCATCAGGTACATTACAAAGAAATAGGAAAATACTGAAAGGAAAATTAGTATGATGCTGGAGAAAAACCAAGGAAGGGATTTCAAGGTTGTAGCTATGAAAGGATTTGATTTGTAAGGAAAAGGATAAAAAAAGACAGATGGAATTGTAAGGAAAGAAGGTAAAAGGAGAAGGAAAGAATGCACCTTTGGAAAGGCAGACTTATTTAGGATGAAGTATAGTAAATGGACTTTCAACCAGTTTCACACCAAACACAAAGATTAAATACATTTAGAAAAGGATTTTTTTTTTACAAAAATTGATTACATTTAAGAATCAAACTGTCTTACTGTAATGCATTTACACAAGGGAAAGCACAACAGACATGAAATACTACAGTATACCGTACCATTCAAATGAAAACAAGAGTTTTCCACAAATAGATATGCTGTATTTATGATATCATGTGAACAGAATGCCTCATCTATCTTTCCTGTGTGCCAGAAAGCATTCTTCCATCAATCCAACTGTGTCTACAAAGGATTAGATCAGCACCCTTGATGCTTGGGGAATGTGTGTGTGTGTGTGGATTTTTCACACACCTGCACACCAAAACTATATCACTCTACGTGTTAAATGTAAACCAAGACTCAGTCTGTTTTAACTCACTGAGCCGCCTACTAATTCTTCAGTGTACTGGGTAGGATAAGAAAACATGGGGGATAGTTTCTTTTCCCTAACCTGCCAGTCCCCAGTCTCCTGAATTTCATGCAAATTTCAAGGGATCTCAAGAAGTCAAGGAGTATTGGTGTGAATGTCCCTTGTGTCACTACTGCTCTCCAGCACAGATGGATGCTGGGAAGCACAGCTCCTGCAGCAACCATATTTCAAGAGAATCTTCTATATGCCCTGATTCTGGACTATTTCCTCAGCATCTGCAGGCTCCTACTTTCCCTGGGCACAGATTCCCCTTAGCACACAGAAAGGAGCATGAGACCCTTGGGTGTGGTCTATACTAGACCAGGCAGGTCGGCTTAAGGTATGCCATCCAGCTATGCAAAATGCACAGCTGGATTTGGCTTATCTTAAGCTGAGCCATTGTTTACATTGCAGGAGGCCAAAGGGAGCACATACTTCCCTTCCTCCTCAAAGAATGAGGCATATAAGACATCCACGGGTGCTGCCCTCAGTGTTTGATTTGGGGCGTCTACATTAGGCCCACTAAATTGAATGTTAGAAGATCGACCTCCGGCGGGTTGATCTCTGTAGTGTAGACAATCCCTTAGAGTGAAGTCCTGTGGGATTCCAGACTTCCCCCTCTCCTCCAACATCAGTGAGTCTCACTTTGTAAGATGGAACCTTAACCTGGGTCCAGAAAAATCAATCTCTGTCCTTCTTTTTAATAGTTAATGTTTTACCTTTTAAAAAGGTGGGCTTTAAAAATGAAATGGTAAATTATTGGCCTCTATATTTAGTGGGATTTTTAAAACCCATTTTAATGACTCAAAATACTACATTATTTAAGAGTAGACTTTTGAAAATTCATTTTTTTGATTAATACAATTTTTAAAACAAACAGACAAGAAACCCCAATCAAACTAACACAAAAAAATCAAGCCACTTTTAAAAACCTATTTCTTGAGAAGCGCTCCTAGGATATTACCTTGTCTGTCAACTTACAGCTTTGAGCAAACACGTTTTTACAGCCAAGTTATGCAGAAATTAAGGTGCAAACACTCACTCGCTTTTACGATAGCAGAGCTAGTGAGTACCTGTAGGAGAAACTATCAGTCTACGACTTAATCCAGAACCAAGGGGCTGCAGATTTATGTACTGCCTAACATTACCTGAAAGGAGCACATGCATGAAAGAGGAGATGTCACTGGTTGCTAAAAATGCCATGTTTTTTATGCTTCAAATTTCTGCAATGAACCTCAGATTTTTGGTGAAGAAATGTAATAACCTGAATCTCTGAGACATCAGCCTAGCAGTGAGTATCAGTCAGCACTATTTAAAGTGACGCCATCCAAACAAAAAAATCATGATTTAGTCAGTGTAAGCTGGCAGAACTAAATTGAAATCAGTGCAGCTAATTTACACTAAGGATCTGGTCTCACTTCACTGACTTTTCCCCCCTTACCTCAACTACTCCAGCTGAGAAAAAAAGTTACAATGGGTGAGAGTGAGAGTCCTGAGTAAAAAATGAATTGGATAAAATTAGCCTCTTTTGTTCTGATCTTGGAACAATGGCAAACAAATAATGATTTCCTCACATCCATTTTCCAAAAAAATCAGATTTTTTTTGAGCAGGAGAGGGGTTACATTTCTTTAGGTCTATGACTCAGCTGTGCGTGAACATCACGTTCTGGCTGTTTGCTCGGAAAGTTGTGCTAATGAGGGATGGGTTGGGCAGATAAGTTACAGGATATTGCTTCCTCTTGCCAAGAAATAGCAGATCTTTAGGCTTTGTGGGTACATGTACCATTAGAAGCAGAATCAGTGTTGCAGAGCTAAGATGTTTTCTAGTATAATTTATTTCCAAGATGTACATACCTTCTATTTCTTTGAACACAAGAAGTAAAAAAATGCAAAACCACGCCCCCCTCAGTTGAGATACCACTGAGAAGCACCTGTCTTGGGCCTCTTTCTCTTGGAATGTCATTGTATAATATATATTGCTCCTCCTTCCTATCTCAGCCCCTGAGTTTTCTGGGAAATCCCTTACCTAGGATCACATGGTTTTTCCAAAGGTGGCCTGTCCTCCCTGCTCTACTCTACAACACAAAGGAACTCTAAAAACAAAATTCCATCAGAAAGAAGAGAGCTTTAACCTATACAATCCTCTTTAAAAAGGTGCAGGTGCAGTACTGCACAAATCCCTTTCTACGGAGAGTTTAATCCTCCTGAATGCTTATCCCTCAATGTCTCGTAACAGGCAGGATATTAGCCCTGTTGCCATAACAGTATTGTCTCTGTCCCCTGACTGGTAAGATGCATGGGCACTTTTGAAGCAAATACTCATCATGCATGTAGTATTTATATTCTTCCCCAGAGTCACATTCTGGCCCTAAAAATTTAAATTGCTTTTCATTGTGCTTACTATTTGCATATTACTCAATTTGGGCTGTGAAATGAGGCTAGTTAATTTTACTTATGGTTTTCATGCACTAGAGAAATATTGCATTATTTGGTTTACAAATACTACAGAGAAGAGCTTTAACCCATACAAGTTGATTACAAATAATGAAGATAAGTCTCTTAATTGTAAAGTGTGTACATTTTGTAAATAATTCCTAGAATACTTTATAATGAACCAGATCCTCAGCTGGTATAAATCTAGACCCACTGGAGTCATGGGGGCTGCAATGATTTATACCAAATGAGGCTGTGAGCCAGTGTTCTCTCCCCCAAAAATTCTCACATCAGTGGCACGTGCACTGAGAATCACAGACTGACAAGGACTTTCATTAAGCATGGTATGGATACCAGAAAAGGAGCCTGATCCTAGGGTGAGAGTGAACAAACCCTTCCCCTGCGATCAAGGCAAGTGTTGGATTACTGATTCTGCAGGGAGATTTTGGTTCTCCTCTCTAATGACTCCATCTACAAATACATGCAACCTGACTTTTGGCGCACCACAGGAAGAAAGATCAGGTTTAATGGACAGAGAATAGGCTTGGGACAGCAAAAGGGACTGGGCTGAGGAATCAAGCAGCAGATAATAGCACTGAGGTCACCTTTTCTCCCTTTTCGCCTAGATCACCCTTTTCTCCTCGAGGACCAGGGAAACCCTATAAAAAATGAACAAAGATATCTATTGGCTTCTCTGTCAGCGTAGGTTAGGTTTCAAAATACTGCTGGGAAATGAATACAGAAAAGAATACTGCAGTGCATGCTCTTTTTTAAGAACTTGTTTCATATTGAACAAGCTCATTTCCCAGCATTCTCCTATTGTTGGACATACTCAGTGAAGAGGGTTGCTGCAGTTTGGTGCCTTTGACAGCAGGAAAGGTGGGAATGGGATGAGAGTAGGGATGGCAATAGGCTCTGACCCGCATGCGGTAAGAAATCCTAAATTGTGAAAAATGCCTCATCTGTAAAGTTGTGGGATTATTACTTTTTTAATAGGGATAAAGTTATTCAACCAAATGTTAGTGGCTCCTTGTTCTGCTCCTAGTAAGTGGCAGTAGTTAGAGTCTGATCCTGCAAACCCTTATTACCTGGTGTAGTAGATACTACTGTGATTAGTGCCTGGCAGGTCAATGGGACTATTTTGGGTAGTAAAACCGTGCTTTGTAGGCTGTACTTTCTCAAAATGCAGTCTGTCCCTCTGACCTCTCTTTATCATATGCAAACGACAGCAAAGCAGTGTTTAGTATGTTCTCCGCATGGTCAGCATTGGGGTTGCCAGATGGTTTCGCAAAAAATACCGATTCCCCCCCACAAAAAAAAAGGCCAGGAAAAAATTCTGTTGAGGAAAAAAAAAAAAAAAAAAACAGGCACAGGAAAAGTTGTTGAGAAAAAAAAAGGGGGGCCGAAATGCAGCCAAGTACCCTTTAATTCCCAGGCCACTCCCCTCTCTCTCCAACCCAGCCAACTCGAGCTCCACCGCATATCCCAAGTGGCCTTCCGTCGGGTGCCCAAGCTGGGCCTTGGGAAAAACAAAAAAATACCAGACATTTTTGGGGTCTGGTATTTTCTGAATTTTGTTACAAGACGGAAGGCGCAAATACTGGGCTATCTGGTTCAATACTGGCCGCCTGGCAACCCTAGCTCAGCATGCACAGAAAATGGGAAATAAAAATTGTACTGCACCGAATAAAGGAATTATTTACCTACCATTTTGAGTAAATTGGTCATAAATTTTACTTACATCAAGGCCAGGCTCGCCATCTTTGCCCTGCCAAAGAACGATATAAACTATATTAACATCCCTAAGCTTCGGGACTATGTGATTCTTATCTGCTAATGATGCCTACGAAGGCTATCTTAATATGCAAACACTTGCCTTCTGCCTACAGGAGAGCAACAGCATTCTTTCTGTTCTGTAGCAACACACATTTCTAGGAGTTACACAAATAGCATTGCCATTAGTGAAGCAACTTTCTGTCAGCGTTTAACATTTCCCCAGCCTCCAGGAGCTGATAACTTGACTGTAAAAATTTGCTGTAGGTTGAAGCTTATTGCACAAGTTGCAGGAGCAAGTTAAAGCAAAGCAATCGCTAGGATTTCACCAGTTTCACTTCACCACAGGGGAGGAAAAGGTGATGGTTTTACTTATGAAAGTGGCCAGCAAATAAGCATACACTGAAAACTAATACTCACCCAGTATGTCACAGAGATTTTTAGTACACAGAAAGAGCTGAAAGCACTCCCTACCCATTGGTCTTTTCCTGCTCCAGACAAAGTCAATGGAAGTTTTGCCATTGACTTGTCCAAGCAGGATTAGGTGCACTGACTTCAGTGGGAGTTGAGGGCACTCAGCTCTTCAGAGGATCAGACCCACAGCATGCATCTAAAGTCTCATCCTGACACCATGTCTGTTAAGGAATGCACTGAAGTCATGCCAGGTCACCAATCCCAAAGCCATGGTTTTATATACTTCCTTATCACTAATTTATTTCATTTCTCCAAGGCTCAGACACAACAGTAGGGACAGCTGTGCTAGATAATACACAGGGAAAATGGAGGTAGGTTCTGTCACAGAATGGCTGTATCTTTAAGAATTGAGCTTCACTTGTGATGCACTGCCTAGCTTCCAACTGAGACTAATCCACTCAGGATGAGGTAATTTTAAAAGCCAGCAAGTGGTTCAATTGAGGGTAGAGTGTTCCCAGGAACAAGGAGGCTCCAGCAGATAACCGCTTGGTGAAAGAATTAATGGGAGCTTGTTGATTCTTGTGGGAGGCCCTGGAGTGGAGTTTGACTGGCAGGAAGTGATCTACAGAGAATAAGTAGGATCCTGCAAAAGACCCTGGATTAGAGGGAAGGGACAATTGGTGATGGAGAGGCATAACCATGGGGGCCGAAGGCATTTAAGCTATAAGGAGTAGCTCTGTGGTTACAACAATCAGAAAAAGAACACAGGATAGGCCTAGCTGTCAGATCATCCCCATCTCTTGCCATGTTCTCTGTGCCCCCCCCGTAGGCAATTTTATGCCTGCGGTTTTGAGGGTACACATAACTTGTGTGAGAGATGTCACTTCAATATCGAAATTTGAGGGAGCTATTAGACAGCCACGGGACATTAATTGTAACTGCAAGCTGTGGACATAAAAAAAGGGAGGGCCCTTAGTCGCCACTGTAATTCACTTGACTTCATCTTTTGCACTTGTGTAAAGAGGGTGTTAAGGGCTATCACTGTTGCAAACAGCAGAGTATCCTGATTTGTTCTCACTTTGCACAGGTATGAATCACTACACAAGGAGCAAGGAAGTGGAGAATATGGCCCTGTATCTTCGGAGTTTTGTTGTGGGACTTTCCTTACTCCCCTGCCTTTAAGTTGCCTGCTTTGGTATATTTAGATCCAATTTCTCTCTCTTCTGGTAGCTGATCAAAAAATAAGTGCCAAAATACTATAAGGGAGCCAGTGATAGAAATGTAGCCGTGTTAGTCTGGTGTAGCTGAAGCAAAATACAGGACTATGTAGCACTTTAAAGACTAACAAGATGGTTTATTAGATGATGAGCTTTTGTGGGCCAGACCTACTTCCTCAGATGAAATAGTGGAAGAAAATTTTCTTCCACTATTTGATCTGAGGAAGTGGGTCTGGCCCACGAAAGCTCATCATCTAATAAACCATCTTGTTAGTCTTTAAAGTGCTACATAGTCCTGTATTTTGCTATAAGGAAGTCAGTGAGACTTCCAGGTCAAATTTGCAAACTTGAGAGGTTTGGATTAGTTTTAGGTCATGATCTGAATTTCTGAATATTTTACCAAAGCAAACCCAAACTATGAACCTTTTAAAGTTTTCCCATCCAGAACTCTCAGAAATGCAAAAAGCAAAATCTTCCACATGCAAACACCACAAAAATAGTAACAGCAAAATATCATCACATCAAAGAAATCTGAAGAAAACATTACAAAAATCACAAAAACTTCCATATCTACTCTCTGCCCTGAAATCTTTGCCAGTCTATTTTGGTGGTCTCAAGGCATCTAACAACATGTACCAACTACAGATAATTAAATGGCGTGAGTTGCAGAATAAGGGACACTGTAACTCTAGATTTCCTCATTCTCGTTAGTTTGTTAGTTCCATTCTTTTACTTTTGCATAGATGTAAGTGGGTGCATGGACCTGCTTCAAGCACAGTGACTTGCATTTTTAGGGATTATTATCTGCCCTTACATCTTGCAACTAATTACACTGCTGGATGAAGAAGGGTCATAAAACACAGCAAAATTTAATCAAGGAGTGGTGAAAGTGCTGTACAACTTTGAATGTATACAAGTCCCATGCAACTTACAGGCAAACCGTATGGTCCTCTGGGTCCAGGGTCACCAATAGCTCCTTTTTCACCCTAGAAGAATAAGATTGAAAACACACATATGGTTCAATCAGCAAAGAGTATCTTTATGTGAAAAGGATCCCTTTTTCCCTCCCCTCAATAACAGAAGTCTACATATCTCTTATCCTTTGTCCGGATGACATCTGCCTATCTGATTTTCAGCAAACAGTCACATGAAAAAAAGATAGGGTTGCATATTCCTATATTCAAATATACCGACTGTGTCTCTTTCTGGGCAACTCAAGATAAGCCAGGTCAGCATGATAAATGACAACTGTAATAAAGGTAAACATCATGTAATAATGTTATATTGTGTTGTTTGTGTAGTATCACAAACGTGTATAGTCATTAAACAGCCAGTGCAATGAGCTTCCAGCCAGTGTTATAAGCTTGTAAGAGCTGGAGCACTGGGTCCTCCATAGGAGACTAATACTGTAATGGAAGCTGTGGGTGTTCAGCACTTTGCATCAGGCTCTGGCTCAACAGCTGAGTTTTGCTAAGAGGAACAGAAAAATGAGTGCCAGTTAGCTGCTCTTTCAGTTCCAGAAGCTAGAGATGCCTCTGCTCAGATATATTAAAAAAATTCTAACCCAGGGTGAGACAACCAGAAGTGAATCCTAAGTCAGGGGAAGAACAGTTTCCAAAGAGGAGTCATGTTAAAGCAACTATCCACATAAATTTTTACAAGCCAAGACAGAGGAAACATTTCCAGAATGAAATGAAATCTCTAGAAAACAAATGTAGGATTGGCATCAGTACTGGGCTTGGGTTTATTCAAGACAACTGACAGGAAAAAATAAAACACTTTTTAGATCAATTCACACACAGCTCTGCAGTGCTGCAGCTGCAAGACCTCTGGTGTTGATCTTGTTAAATCATGTGTGCTAAGCTCCTGGTGGGCAACAAAATGGGAGACTCCAAGAAACATCAAGTGTGATGCAGAAAGTAATGAAACATTTGCTTTCCAGGGAGTTCTTCCTTCTTACTAAGCACTGAACCACACAGCCTTTTGCTGGGACTGTGTTGCTGGTGGTGTTGTGTTTTGCATGAGACAAAAGAGAGGTTCTGGTCATATATGGTTTTCTAACCTGCTTGTTTGACCATGTTCCCCCGGGAGTGTTGCTTGGATATCTTCTTTTTCTTTTCCTTACAAAGCATTAGTGTAATATTCCTGGCATGCAAAGCCACCGTGTGCTTTCCCAGAAGCTGCCACAGTTCAGTGGTAGATGAACTGTCTGCGTTTTGGTGAAAGGTGCTCTGAAAATCCAGAATCTTTATCAAGTTTATTAATGGAAAGGGTACATTTTAGAAATACAGACCAGAGATGTAGCTGTGTGTATTATCTTAGGGTGTCATGGCTAAATCATGTGCAACGCTCTGACAATGTACCACTTAAGTGTAAATTATTATGGCTGGGGCAGTAACAGCTGAAAAAAATCTCAACCTCTTGTTTAACAATCCCCACGGCAAGGACTACATTAGGGGTCTGACATTTGATCAGGTTTAGATACTTTACATTTTTGATGAAGATGAAGATTTGATGAAGATTCTAACTCCTTATATGCGCCTCAGTCTGGATGAGACTAAGTATCGGATGAAGGTCTTTCTGTTCATCTCCCAACTGCTTCTGAGCAGGCAGCAAGACGAGACAACAGACGGTACTGGAAGTAACAGCTGATTTACAAAAATAATCCCCTGGGACCTCCACACTTTCTGGCAGAAGAAGCTAAGAGATTTGCTCACCTCCTTATATAACAACTACAATGTTCTTTGATCCATACTTGAGATTCATCAAGACTAGATGATGTCCTTTTGATCTAGACCATATGGAGGCCTCTCAAAATAAGCCTGTATCATTGTTACACATATGGTAGACATAAAAATACTGGCAAAGGGTTTGGCAAATCAGTTCAGGGAACTCAGACCATCTATTATATACAAAGATTGAACTGGATATATACCCTACACAGACTGTCTATCTTCAGTATGAAGCACCTGCAGAAAAGTGTTTGGAACACAGGCTCGTGCCATCAGTGGCTATGAATTAGGACCGAATAAGGGGAAGGGGTAGAGTGTTGGGACCACTGCCCTGAACAGTGAACTAAACCACTAGCTGCAGGGAAACAGACATTCACAGTCTAGTTTTAAGAAGCTCTTAATCTTTTATTTCCAGATTCTTGCCAGGGCAAAAAGAACAAGGTATGGCTCTTCAGTGTTGTTTCTTGCCATTTTAGATCCAGTGTCCTGAATGATGCTGTTCTGTGTTGTATTAAAGTACTGCAGGAATAAGACTATATTTTGGTGTCTCCCTGGAACTTGTACACAAACTAGATGAGAGGCCACTCTACCAAGGAGAGTATTGAATGAAAAATGTGTTATCAGAAACACTAACATATTTTGAATGTCTATAATGGCAGAAGTTTTAGGAAAGCCACATGTTTGAAGTCCTGAAAAGAGCTTAGCTCAGAGACAAAACTGCCCCACAGGTGAGAATCCTGTGGAATTCATATTTCATTAAGCATTAATCTTTCAAAACTTTTTCAACAGACAAGAGACTGGAAAAATAGTTTTGCTAGCCCCAAGGAACATACAAAATACAACTACTCTAAGATGTTTGATTGTCCAGCAGAAAAAGAGGGTTAGCTGGTAAACAGACTAGGTAGATTAAATGTTGTTAGTTCTTTCAGCCAGTCTTTATACCTAATATTTAACAATCAGCGCAATTTTTTGGTTAGATAAATTTTTAAAATATAAGTGGAGATGGGTTGAAAAACTCACACAGTGCCTGGTGAAATGGCAATGCTCGTTTTCAGTGGACTAATAAAAATCTGAATGTATATAGCACCTTTCATACCAGAATAGCAAAGTGTTTTAGTTGTCATAGCTCTTTTCTGACAAGAAGCATTACATACATATATAGCATATTGCACAAAGAGTTATCTTGAAAACCTCCTCATGGTCTTCTGAGAGTATTACATTCCATGTAATAGATAATAATAATTTGCAATGCTTACACAACATCTTGCATTTTTAAAGCGCTATTTTAGCAATAATCATATAGGGTTATAAAGCAATTATCACCATATCAAGTTTTACAGATGGAGAAACTGACACAAAGACCAACAGACTCTACTCTGGTTTAAATAAGTGCAACTTTGACTGGAGGCAATGGGATTGTAGTCTCTTATAGCAAAACTGAATTGGGCCAAGAGAAGATAAATGTCATGACCAAGGTCACACAGTGAATTACTGTCAGAGACAGAATTAGAAATAAGGTTTCCTGTCTTGGAGTCCCCTGAACCAGTTCTTTAAACACACTGCCTCTCTCAATACATTTTTGTATGTAGGAGTATTCAATATACAAACGTTCCTTGGAATGTTTGCCACATTCCAAGGAATGGTAGAAGTTATTGTATCAAGTGACTCCATGACTGCCCAAAATTCTGCATATATAAAAATGATTCCATATAATGAAGGAACTAATACTTTTTAATTTGTTTTTTCTTACTCCCTGAAACACTTGAGTCCTAAATCTGCACTCCATTACAGTGTCTTGTAAAAAGCAAGATTATCTTTTCAACTTAAAAGTATATGTGCATTTACAATTTACTTTGTATTTTCAACTGACCCTCGGTAAACATTTCACCTTGAGAAATCTACTTACCCTTTCAATTTCACACTAGCTTCTGTTCTTGAAGAAAAGATTTAGCTATCAGCAGGGACAAAATTTGATCCAGTACTGTGATATCCAGCAGCCCTATTATGGGCTAGTGTTTGAAATTTAGAGGTTGACGTCCAAAGGTAAAATGTTTGCGCTCCTGATTTTGCATACAAAATCTCAATAAGTGATTTGCAAATTGTAATTATGCATGAAAATAGCAGACAGCACATTTGTTATGTATTCCAATTTAAACAGTTAAAATATTTTTACAAAGGTTTAGGCACCCTGAGACATGACATAAATACCACAACAAAATCCCAACAGCATTAAATGATTATTCAAGCAGGAACTCTGTTGATCTATCACATACAAAAAGCTCCTTTCCACCCCCATCACTAAATTGATTAGTTCTATTTGGGTATGTCTACACTACAATGTTAGTTCGAACTAACGGACGTTAGTCCGAACTAACATTCATAGCCGCTACACTAGCGCTCCGCTAGTTTGAATTTGAATCGAACTAGCGGAGCGCTTAGTTCGAACTAGAAAAACCTCATTTTACGAGGATTAAGCCTAGTTCGAATTTACTAGTTCGAATTAAGGTGTGTGTAGCCCCTTAATTTGAACTAGTGAGAGGCTAGCCCTCCCCAGCTTTCCCTGGTGGCCACTCTGGCCAACACCAGGGAAACTCTATGCCCCCCTCCCGGCCCTGGACCCCTTAAAGGGGCACGGGCTGGCTACGGTGCCCGTGCCAGGTGCAAGCCTGCCAGCACCCA